TTGCTATGTAGCTCCTAAATAAGATCTGGTGCAACCAATCTTCAGAAGTCTACCTGTGTGCAATCCAAGTGTCACATGATCTGTCACATGATCCAACGGAGCACCATTAAATCCATTATTATAAAATGGAAAGAATATAGCACCACAGCAAGCCTTTCAAGAGAGGACCTATTTCGCTTCAACAATTTAGTATTTTGTGTAGGTCCATAAAATACAAATAAAATCCATTTTAGTTCCAGGTTGTAATGCAAAAAAAAATCCAAAAACAAGGCCATGGGTGTTGGATACTTTTGCAAGGCACTGTATATAGTGCATGTACATTTAGGGCACTCAAGTGATACTAAGGTGGGAGAGATTTCCCCTCAACCAGGACACTGATGTTTGGGGCCTCCATGAGTAGCTACACTAAAAAAGCTAAATAATAATGGTAGAAAATGACAGCGATTATGGTGCATTTCGGTGTTGTTTATTCGTCTTGCACCAGTGCATAAAGGCCTCTTAGCCAGTTATTCAATTCCCACCAGTTGGGCACCAGCGAAATGTAGAAACCATCCTGGACCACAATGACCGGCGTAATGAGGCCCAACATTAAATGCCTCCTCTCATAAGTGCATGTTATACCACGAGGTAATCAGACTGCTGGGTTGTTTCATTCTGCAGAGCATCTTCAGCCTCGTGGTCACAATGTCCGCAGCGCCCCACGGTCATTTCAACCATCTCTTATTTGGAGTACACGAGTGACGGGGCAGCGTGCCCCTCACACTGCTAAAAAAAGCAAGCTTCCTCCTCACTCACAGAGTCCTGGCGAGATCAGGGAAGAGGAGGTGGAAAACATAACTGAAAAGATGAGACATATAAGAGCCATATAGACAGCCTTGAAGATGTTTGAATGTGTGCAGGTATAAAATGTCAAAGACAGGCCTTAATGAGGCACAACTCAGGAGCATGCTTCAGGACGTTTCTGGGGTACATTGTCATTCCCATTAAAAGAAAATAGTGTTGGAAAATAAAGGCAGTAGGTTGGAACTAACTATCTTTTTTTCTTTTTATTGGTTAATCCATCAATTCTTTTTTTTAGGTTGATTGGTTAATAGTTTGGTCTACATTGTTAAAGATAAACCAACCACATTTACAGAGGGGACATCTTAAAGCTGCAACAATTTATTGCTAAAATGCTCAAATTTCACAACATCAGCCATATCCTCTGGTCTCGTGTTTCACAGTGTTTGCCTTGGCCTCTACACACACACACACACACACACACACACACACACACACACACACGGAGCAGAGAAAAGTTTTCTGAACTTGATGAAATATAGCCACGGTGTGTCATGTGGAGCGAGCGCTCCGGCATATTGTGTGCTCCGATTATCTCAGCATACAGCTAACACACTCCTGGTGGAAGGAAATAACGGGAGTAACAGGGGAGGCAACTTTAAAAGTGACTTAATGTCTTTTGTGCTGCGAGTGCTGTGAGGTGGACCTAATTTATGAGTGGTTCATGTGGATTTGGAAAAGTAACTAATAAATATTGAGAAAAATAAAGTTTTATGAAACTTTAAAGTGTTAAATTTGGTAATGGAAGTTGGTGTGGAGGGAGGGGGTAGAAAGAGTATTTGTGTCACGGTTCAGGGCTGGGCTAAGACTCATGCGCAGAGACCGACGCTGGAGACGAGGTGAAGTTTAGAAAATAAGAATTTTTACTGGTCATCAAAAGAGAAATAAACAAAAACATAAAGCGACTCCAAACGGGAGCAAGCAAAAACAAACAAAAAGGCAAAGTCAAAAATCATTGAATCCACACGAGGAAACAGCACAGGAGACACAAGGAGCACAAGGGGAAGAACAATGACGATCTGACAGCCGGAGCGGGGAAAGCAGGGGAGTATATATACGAGTGGGGTAATGAGAGGATTGGAGGCAGCTGGGTGGACCGGGCAGGTGAGTAGGATGAGTGCAATCAGGGGAACACACACACACACACACACACAGAGAGATAGACACAGAGACACGATGAAACTAACGGGATGTTACAATTTGATTGGGTTAGCAATAGGAATAGAATAGAAATGTTATTGAAAATAATTATAGAAAGAAACCCTATTGCAACGTAAAAAGTTAGTGTTTTCAGGTTGTTTCTGCAAAATTCAAGTTCTTTATTTATGATTAGAGTGAAACACTGTCATTGGCAATGACATTGTTTGTAAAATGTAAAAATGAGGATCTAAAACCAAATAAAATAATGCAAGTTAAAATATTGGAATAAAATGTAATATAGTCAAAATACAAAATAATTTTAAAGCTGAAAGAGGCAAAGATTTCAGATGACCAAACAGAGCAAAAAGGAGAGGGAATCTTGGATTAATAGTTTGCCATGAAGCCAGAAGAAACTATGAAAACAAAACCAGCCTCTTATCTTTCCATTCAAGTTAGAACATTCCAGCCTTTTGTAGCGCTAACATGCGAATCCTTCAGCACTATCAGGAGCACGGTACCAGCACAGCACATGCAGCACACGGAGTGCCATGAAACAAGGCGACAGTGTGACCTGCTGCAAAGGATGATAGAGGTGTGCTTCGCCACTCGCTTCAAAATACCATCGCCATAGACCAACATGTTCCTTGGACCAGGTGTGCAGGGAGAACGCTGCAAGTTAGCTCCCTAATAAAAAAAACATTTCTTCTCAAACCCGCTCCCCCTCCCTAACACTCCCACCTTTTAAGAAATATGGCATTGTAGCTTGAACAGATGAGATGAAAAGAACTCTTATTACCTGCCTCTCCAAATAAGTTTCATCCATCCTACTGCTGTTTGCCTGAATAACCACCATTACAGCCACTTACAGGTGGCGCAACGCACTAAAGAGTGATTTGGGATCATGTGTCGGGGCCAAGAGCTTCTCGGTGACATTTGCCGCGAAGCAAATAATTGGCTTCTCTTTTGTAAAGTGAGAGCTACTGTGTGATGAGCATGTGGGCTGCCGGCTGCCGCAGAGTCAATGGTCAAATGCGTCGCCATTAACGGCGAGTGAAATGACAGTTCTGATATGAAACAGCGAAACCAATTTCAAAAGCAGCGGGTAAATTATGGCAATTTTAGCCCATCATCGTACATTTCATTAACTCGTACAGTCTTAATCATGAGCGACTGCGTCGTGATTAAAGGTGCACTTTGACCACCCATGACAGAAAAGTGCCAAGTAAAAGAACGTCGGTGGGGAACACAGTTAGGGAGGATTTTTCTTCTCATATGACTACTTTGGTTTAATTGCAGTTTTATTTGAAGCTCAAAGCAGAACTGAAGTATTGGGATGATTGGGAAATCTCCATCGCTGAGGAAGACGCGACTTGAATTGTATGACTCAAGTCTGCAAAGCACTTGATATGTTGAGCATATCTGACTGAAAATAAAAAGATCCTGTTCGTCCTACGTCTTTGTGGCAATGATCCCTCAGGACTGACTCGTCAAGCTATCAACACCCACAACACTGACATCATTTATGGCCTGATAACTGTGATGCAATATTATGTAGTGTATAGTCTATTACGTATGAAGTATAATCGGTCCTGATTACCTAATCCTAAACAATTACGATACAATATCAGATAGGTCTGTGAAGTTTAACCCTCTCTGATAGACAGATCAGGCTCAGGGACAATGTCAGGACGGTTGGCGTTGATTTGACAAAGATGGACAAACAGCCCATCTGTGGACAGATACACAGTTTTCAAAAGCTATAGCTCGTAACACTAGCGTTCCCAGTTGGTTTCTTCTACTACGTTAAACAAGTTATTGAGAGTTTTATCTGGAGGTACAAACTGTACAGCATTGGAGTGCCTTATGCCGTGTTCACACCAAACGCGGCAATTCGCGCCACATATTCGCGTCAATCGCGCCGCAGGTCTCGCCGGGGACCATTTGTGTACATTCTCGCGAATCACACCGGAGAGGGGGCGGGGCTTATCGCCCTGAAAGCCGTTCAACTGTCCGCCATTAACCATGGAACAAATAACCTATTTCTGCTTAGTAGGTGTTGTGGAAGTCACAGATATCGCGGGAAACTAAACGCCGTCATGTCTGGGTTCATAATATTGTTCAGAGGAGCTCTGTGGATTTTATCGAGCTGTATTCACTGTGTCTAGCAAGCCACAGGTCGCTGTTTACTACAGCTGTATGAACACAAAATAAACTGATTTGGCTGTGATTTAATGGCAATAAACCGAGAAAAAGGGACTCCGAAATATCTACGTAATGATGCCGATTTGTAGGCTACCTGTCTTCTCAATGGAGCGGATGGAGCGGTGCTAGGCTAAGCTAACATTGTAGCAGCTCCACCAACACTCAGAATAACGTCATGTAGACGTAAATATGGCAGCGTCTATTCATTGTTTGTACCATATGGTTTACACACACACATTTATACACATAGTTTGGTCCGGTCTCTGTTGATATGAAGTATTATAGAGCTGTGGGTGAACACAGACGGCTACAGTATTTATTTCCTGATTCAACAACGGCAGGAAGTCAGTGATGACAGGGGAAGCAACTCAACGCTGATAGGCTATCGCGCCAGGGAGTAACGCGAATATTTCGGTGAAGTTGAAAAATTTCAACTCACGCGTTTGGGGCAATTTGGCGATGGACGCGAATTCCCGTCCATCGCGCCGCGAATTCCCGTACATCGCGCCGCAAATTTGCATCCATCGCGCCGCGCCATCGCAAATTCACGCCGCGCCAGTCTCATCGCGTCTGTGCATAGACTTTGTATGTAATCTACTCGCGCGAATAATTCGCGCCGCGCTTGGTGTGAACGCAGCATTAGTCCCAGCAACGTCCCAGGTTCGATTCCGGCCAATCAAATGGAAAATGATAGCATGATTTCCGGGTCTCGATACTGATTTTTTTCTTCCAAACCTCAGTGTTTTAAACCATGCATACCATATGCAAGAGGATATAGATAACTATTTAGTTACTACAACATCTACAGTATCTCTTACCACATTCCAGAAGAAAGGGTTGAAAACGATGGCGACCACAGCGAGATAAAAGCTGGAGTCGTGAAAGTTGGTGTGTTTTAGGAGCCCTTCAATCAGTGTCAAATCCATCTGAAAGAAACAGCCATGTGAAACATACACATTTAAAAAAACATGATTTCATTGACAGACGGATGGTTGCTGGTTATAAAAACATTAGCCAGCCTTCCATCCAAATTTAGCGCAAATTTAACAATATTTTCAGAAAATGGGCAAAAGATAATGTGAATTGATTTCCATCCACTACTGGTATGTGAACATTAGCGGTTGAGCGCATCGAGATAAACAGTTGGTGGCGCTAATTCTCCAGTCGGGTACCACTAAACCATTGCAGATGACGTCATCAAAAGAGCGCCAGCGAAACCTCAAATGGTGGAAAACCCATGAAGAAAACGCGATGGAAACATGACATTTATGTTTGTTTCATTTATGGAACCGAGTCACCTCAGCGCTGTGCGCACAGATCTGATGATTTCCCTGGGCTCTCATCAGTGGAACAGAAGCTTCAGTGGTGAAGTCTGTTTCCATTTGGCTTTTATAGCCACCTCAGACAAGCATACAAATGTTTTTTCGATATTTAAAGTTTCCTTTTTGTGTGCACAAATTGACAGTGCAAAGCATAGAAACGGGTGGATGGAAACACACACTGTAAGACTTTAAAACCGTCCTCAAACCACTTCTGGCTACTTATTCCCATGTTATTTTCGATGAAGCTTGCAGATACATTTTAGTTAAACGTTGAAGTAAAGAGAGCTTCGGCAGATACTTTTTTTCTTGACCTGTATTAGGCTTTTTTTTTAATATTCTAAGTTATTTATCAAAAGACATGTGCTATACAATGTCAGTTAGTTTTGCTCCAAAACAACATTTGCTCTAATTTGACGTATTCTTGCCTAAATGTGACCAATTACTGCATAATACAACTGCTCTTGCACTGCTGTACAAAGGTTACACGGTTTTGTATTTGTCATTGTACGACAGGGTCGCACAACCAAATTTCGATTGTACTCCCAATTTGCTACATAGAAAAGAAAAAAACTATAATATATATGGAGGGTGGAGGATGAGTTAAAGGAGTCTCACAGCCAGAGGAAAGAGGCTGTTTTGAAGTCTGGTGGTTCGGCAGCAGATATTTCTGTATCCAGAGGCTGTCTTTACAGCCGGCAGCAGGGTGAACAGGTTGTAGCTTATGCTCTTCGCAGGCATCTCTTCTCAGCAATATCACAGTAAAATCACAGTAGCAGGCTTTCATACAATATTGTCACTGTTAATGAAGGGTGGGGGGGAAGCAGATGACGGGCAACCCAGGGCTTTTTTTTTGTTGTTTAAAACGAAGCATGGCAGATTGGTGTAAAAATGTATTCCAATGACTGATACGAAGCGGAGCGGCATACACTGATATTCCTTCTCTGTCACACACTGGAGGTCTCTGTGTGGCTTTCCAGTTAACGCCTGCTGATGCAAGGGATGAAAAGCAATAAAGTACGTGTCTTTTACGACGTGCGAACAATGATTCCTGTTCTTAAGAGAATTCGCCATGAGGTAGTGCTGAGGGTCCGTCTCGAAACAAAAACGCCACTTTACTTAGACTTTCAGGACACCGATGATGAACAAGGGAGGTCAGCGCTACAGATAAGCGACTGAGTATTATCAGATATTTATGTTGGATCACTCACTTTAGGGGAGATACTACAGGTGTAATAGGGTAAACATCTTCATATCTAATAGATATCACCTTGAAACTTCCCCAGCTGATAACATTACATAAGACAATGATTTGTATCTGTATTGTATTGCAATTTTTCTGAAATTGTATGTTTAAATACTCAAATGAGGCATTATCTTATCGGCCCAATTTGGAAACATTTATGGAATAAAAATCAGAACATTGGATAAAGCCAGGTTCAAAATGTTTGCTTATTTTTGTCGACATGTTAGGATCAACAGTTTTGACAAAGGGAATTTAGGATATGTCTTTGGATCACTCAATAAATCAGAAAATATAGTCAACAGCCATAGAATTGTTTTTATTTCCACCATGTTTTTAACAACAACTGGTTCTATAAATCAGGCTATGAATTATATATCAACAAACTGCTGTGTGAAAATATTCAGAATCTAAATGAAGCTTGGTGTGTGTAAGCGCTACTAAAGTGAAGCTTGAGAAAACAGCTTGTAAAAGATATTTGATACCGATGTCAGATTAGTTTGTCTTATCTTTTTCTAATGGTAACAGGCAACAGGTCAGAATTAACCTGTTCATTTTAATGGGTGCTCTGAAGCTGAGTACATTTCATTGTGAAATGCTGCAGGTCTGGTTTGTTATTGTCAACATGACGTCACCAGACTTATTGTTTAAATTGATGAGAATAAATAATAACAGATACACAAGATGGTTTGAAAGATGGGTAGCACAGAAGGTACCTTGTTTGTTTTTTACCTAACCAAAACAATGGTGCTTAAATACAAAATAAGAGTCGAAACATATTTGTGTTGCAAGAATACAATTTCTAATTATATTTTATTGCAAGGACATTAACTTTCATATTCTGCCCGGAATAACCATTTGTTTACTGTGGGTTTGCAAAACAACACGCTTTTATTTTGAAAAAAAGGCGACCGTACCGCCTGTTTTCCGGCTGTCACGAGCTCAGCAAATGAAGCAGACTGGTTTGGTCGGTCAAATCGGGACCTTCGCTGCTCGTCTGAAGCGGCTTTACCGAGTCACGTGGAAGTTAAGACATGCCGGCTTCATCATCAACAGTTTCAGTTTTACCTTTGAATAATCGACGTTGTTGAGTCCTCCGCAGCAGTCCAGCGGCACAGAACGCGTCTCTCGAGCAGGATTATCGTCCTGAACCGCGGCCACGTCGCTCATACGCACCGAGTGAACGCTGGCGGACCAGCAGCCCTCATCCACGTGTGTGAAAGATAACGAATATTGCACAATTTGTGGTGCAAGGGTCTTATTTAGTCAGAGCAAGAAGGGAGCAGTTGCAGTGGGAGGGGTGAACTACACAAGTCCTGACAACCTCTAACCCCGCTCAATGCATCCTGGGAAATGTAGTTCATGTTTCACTTGCACTCGGTAAAAACAATTGATATTTTGCACCCATTGCAGCGCATATTTGTCGCCCAGAAATGAACTCGAATCCTAAACTTTTGGACCTGCTGTTACGCGTCCAAACCTGTAGGGTGTCTTTCTTCCTGCATTAGTCTTCTCCTTTGTAGTAAATGAATAGTCTTGCTTTACAGAGACATCTGCTGTCTGACAATATTAAGGCTGTTTAAAGCTTGCATGCGTGAGTAGAAGACGACCCCCCCCCCCCCCCCAGCATTAAAATTACGAGACACCTTTTCAATCATCACATTTTATTGACATCAAATCAAAACCAAAGACTGAATCTGTTATGCAGTGTTAATAAATATGAATAAAAAAATCCCAGGATTCTTAAGTTGATTGACAGGTCTTTTGATCCGGAGACATGAACTGTGAATTGTTGGTTTCAAAGGCTTGTTTACATCTGTAAATTGTGTATGTGTGTATACAGTATCATTTTTCTCATTCTGTTCCTCCTCTCTTCTGCTCTTTTCTTTTCACTTCTCATCTACTTCTTTTCTCTTCACTTTTCTCTTCTCTCCATTTTGCTCCTCTTTTCTTCTCATCCCTCATTTTCTCTGATCTCTTTTTCATCTCCTTTTCCCCCTTGCCTGTTTTTCTTTCTTTCCTCTGTTTCTGCCCTTGTTTTTCCTTTATCCCGCCTCATGTCATGTCATTGTTGATCCCGCCGCAGCGGTAACAGCTCGCCTCCCTCTTACCACCTGCAGCTATTTGTTTTTTCACGCTGCATGTATGACTTGTAGAGAGGCTCCTTCATTGCTGTTTATTGTGGGCATGACGGCAATCATTGTTCCTGACATCTGACCTCCATTCTGTAAACACGGTTCTGGGGGTGTTACTATTATAGAAGAAGAGGAAGAAATTCTACCTCAGATGATCAATGTAATCCCATATTATGCGATGAATCACTCCTTTATGTGTTTATTTGTCCATGCATGACCTAAAGCAATAATGGTGAACATTACATTTGTTAGTTGCCTGCACAAGGACACACACACACACACACACACACACACTGTATAATCAAATGTCAGTTCCAAACAATGTCTGCTCAGTTTGCAGGGCACCCATTTCCACATGCTGTCCAGTTAAACATTCACACAGCTGACTGTGTTTACTTTTCCGTGGAATAGACAGGGAGCCGTGTGGGTTGTGCTTTCATACACACTATCAAGCACACACGCGTGCACTGGAGTATCACAGAATGTAATTGCACAGGCTATTGATACAGAATATTATTGAAATAGAAAAAAATAGAGGACCAAACAAGCAGAGGAAAAAACAAAAGACTGTTGATCTCTCATGTACGACCTTTCTCTGCGCTACAAACACATCTAAGCCATTGTCAAGAGGCTGTCGTGAGTAAACAGTCTGTCAATCAATTCGACTTGATTCTGCACTCCAAGTGGAGTTTGCAGTAGGACCCGTGTTGTGGAATATTTCTATGACTAGTCAGGAGAAGAGTATAAAGGTTTTTAGTCAATATCAAATGAACAGAGTCTAGATGAATGATCAAAGTGTGTAAAGTCAATGTATTGCGTTGCAAGCAAGGAGAGCAGTTTCACAGATACGTATTGCAGTAACCTGTGAGAGTGCCCCCCAGAACGGTTCTCCGTACATTCTTATTTATACCTTTACAAACAAAGGAGACAGTGAGAAGGAGGGGGGGACAAGTGGGGGACAAGTCATACGTGTGCATCAGTGTCTGGTACATGTCGTCTGCATTACAGGAAGGCGCCTCATTCTCTGCCGCTGCCCTATATGGCTTGCATGTGCCTCGTCTTATGCTATTGCCCTATATGGAATCATTTTATGTCACAGCGGGCACTTTCCTCTTACAGAGACTATGCAGAGAACATGTTAGAACATATTTTACCGTTACACCCGCCTGTTAAGTTCTACATTAGTTTTATCATCAAAGTAATTCGTCTTGGGCATGTGCAGAGGAGAGAGCAACACTTTGTTTTGGTCAATACACAACGAAGAGCAGCGGTTGCAGGAGCTCTAAACTGGCAAAGCAGGTTGTGGCTTGTATTGTGAAGCATTCACAGGAAATGCAATGTGCTTGTCACAGAGGATAGCGCTGACTGTCAGTTATCAAAAATGGTGTTTGACATGATATGATGGAAAGTATAGCTGCTCAAGGAGCCATAAATCACATTCCCACAAATCAATTAGGACCAAAGTCTTTAGTATGTGTGCCTTGGCCCAACACTTCACCCCCTCAGGTCCACCAAGGCTCGAACTTATCGGACTGGAGCTTCAGTACGCCTATCTGGCTTCAGATATACTGTACATGTGGCATGTCACAGATGCGTATTACATATTGTATTTATAGTTCTTCACTTTCGTACGCAATTGGTGCAAAACATTCACAAATTGCCAAACTCTTATTAGGCTTGTAGGTTGTGGAAAAACATGAAAACACAAGCCCACATTATAAACACAGGCGGCATAGACACGGTCAACACACACACACACACACACACACACACGTGCACATGCACATGGTGTTTAGCACAGGTAAACACTATCTATCAAAACAGCAGCCCGGCAGCATCATTTCCTCCAGCTCCCTCTCCTGTTTACAGTCAGGGGGGGAGAAAAACAACAACCAGCGGAAGTCTCCACGTTTGCTTTCCCACCATCCCTCTATCCCTGTGAAAGCATTGAATCATCAGAGACAGATGAAAAATAAGCCTGGTCTTATTAAAGGAACACACATGTGCTCCTGTGAACGCCCAATGTGAGAGACAAAGAGGTGAATGGTAATTGGTCACAACACTCACACAGCGCACATGCAGACACACGTTCATGCTCATTTTATTTTCATCTGAGATGCAGCTCAGCGTCGTGTGTCAAGTTTTTTGAGTCATAAATCTGTTGTCAACATTGTGTTTCGTTGAGGTGAAAGTTGATGTTGAAGTGTAAAAGGGCTTCAAACATTATGATGGAGGTATATGATGTCATCCCCAAGCTCACTTATGTCTCATAAGTTGTTGCAGCATTGATACCATTTGTTACACAGATTTGTAACCGTTTTTTGACCATTCGAAAATGTACACAAATGGTCAAAAATCCCTCAAATTTACCACATTAAGGCTGCACTACTCACAACAATAAAATGGCTCCTATGAGAACTAACGTCAACACACATGAATACAGGTGGGCCCTTTAAATCCACAAGAGTCTCAGCTTTCTTTTTTTATATTTAAATTGCATGCAAAAACCTCCATGGTTTTATAGTGTAGAGTGGCCATGTCTGTAAAGGGAAGTCTGATCATCTGATGGCTGAGACATTTATGGTGCACGTGCAGAGAACCACATGCCATCTCCTCAGTTCTCAGTTCTCCTCAGTTCCTCAGTTCTCCTTCAGTTTACCTGTTTGTCTTTTTCCAGTGTGAATTCTTGTTCGGTCTGTCTGTACTGCAGACAGTCTGTAGGATGAGGCAACGCCAGACACCCACATAGAATGTTGTGCCGCCAGCAATAGCAGCAGACAGGAGAATGTTCTGAGGGTGTTAATGTAATCGTCCACTCGACATCTTTGGCCAGAACAGAAGATGAAGAAGAACTGTACTCAACTATATGTAAACAGACTTTTTGTTCTCATATCTGAAATAATGTTCCAATTATTTTTGGGGGGGGGGGGGGGGGCAGAGGATGTCGTGAACACAGCATTGACATGTCATCATCACCTTTTAATCACCTTTTAAGTCGATACGGCAAACAGTTGCTTGTTTACACATCCAAAGGACATGGAGCAACATTGGTATTGATTTCCAGACGTGTCTCTGGCCACCTGAGGAATGTGTGGTCCAGTATTTACTCTCTTTTAGCTCCGTTTATTGTCTCTACCAACCCTTAAAAGAAACATATGGTTCATTAGCTGCTAAATGCTCCACTCTGTTCACTAGCTATAGTCACAAGCTGTATTGGTCTGTAGTTTAGTTTCAAGTGGGCTTAGAGAGCTTTTTTGTTGAAAACATATGTCTGCTGCAGCCAAAAACGACACAAAGAGAGCAATGAGGGTGAACCGAAACCGTAGGTGCAGGTCAGGCAGCTCAACAATGGGCTGAAACTCACATTGGAAACATTGTCATTAGAAACATTATATTGCTGCTTTAAAGTCTGTGTCCGTAGCCTTGCCACAGACTAGCAAATTTCTCCTTCCTTTTAACAGAGGCATGCTGGGATCTCGAGTAGAAAATGAAGAGATAGATACAAGGAATACTGTTTTTTTTAAATAACTTTTGTGACAGGGATCACTCTTTCCACAGGGAATTATCACCTGATTCTGCAATTCCCCTCCACTATATGAAGCATTTTAGCCAACCTATTCTCACCCCCAACTCGTCAAACACTGAAGTTAGGTCAGTAGCCCTCAGCATCTGGTACCGACTCACCCATGCACCCTTTCGTGTCTGTATGAGACGCACCAGGCTTTCAACCAACTCCAGTGTAAACCCATCCGTGTCATTATTAGAGAAAGAGCACTAAGGGTGGCTTGGAGGGTAAGTTGGACTGATCAATCAAACATGGAACTGTTACCCAGGAGACTGCCGTTCATGTCAAGTCAACATTGAACTATTTTAGTAACTATTGGACATTCATTGCTCAGGTGAACAGAGAGACCATATCTGCTGGATGTGCAACAACTGTGATAGCGTGTCCTGCATTTCCTTCAAGCAGCCAAAAAGATCATTGAACACTGCTTTAAAAATAAACCAAATCAATGCCAGAACAAGCTGACTTTCATCATTATATATATATAATGAAACTCATCTGTTCAAAACTCATAAAAGGTGTAATTGTCCCTCCTAGCTCTTACGACACATATTTTGGTTTCCCGGGGCTTCAGTCTAATATACTAAATGAAACTATGGGTCATTGGATCTGCCTGAGGTTTGACATTGACCATGAGA